ATTATATTATTTTTGTTATATTTATAATATTTTAAAAATTTTATTAAATTTCAATTCAAAGTATGAAATTTTGCCATGTAATGTAATTATTTCATTAGTATCTAGACCGTATAATTAACAGTTCTTACTTCTTATTAGTACTAGTTGAAACCGTGTGCATGCGAACATGAGATTTTGTAAGTAAAAATATAGGGTAAAAAAGATAATAATGAATAAGAAGACAAGACAAAAAAAAAAGAAAAGAAAATAAAAGAGAGAAGGAAAAAGAAAGGAAAGCAAAAATATTCACTTACAAAACGTCAGTTAGGGTTTAAATATATATATATATATATGAAAAGTGATTACTTAAAAAACTCGTTCTAAATAAAAAAGAAATATTAAGAAAAAAGCAAGAAGGAGAAAAAAAAAAGACAAAAAAACCAAAAAAAAAAAAAGAACAAAACAAAAAGACAAATGTAAAAAAAAAAAAAAGGAAAATTGAGGGAAACGTTTGGTTAGCTGCTAACGAAAATTCTCTAAGTTTCTCTCATATATATGTAAAGGATAAACGTTTGGTTAACTGATAAAAAAAAATTATTTACGTAAAAAGAAATCTTTTTACCCATCTCAAAAAACAATTTTACATGAAAACTTTTTTTTATTATAAATAAAATATTTACACGATAAATTATCAATTATTTGCACTAAAAAAATTTATTATTCACTTCAAATAATTTTAAAATCTACTATTTAATTAATTTAGTTTTTAAAATCTACTGTTTACCACCCTCTCCCCTTAATTTATTAAAAAATAATACAGCCAACCTTTTTTTCATAACCTAAGTATGTTCAAAAAAAGCCTCTGCAATTCGTTACCGGGCCAGGCTATTTACGTTGCGGGTTATCTTCCCTTTACAAAAATGACAAGTGGCGTTTAGTATGATGATTCAAACAATAGTAATTTTAATTATGATTCTGAAATTAGAATCATAATTTATAATTTTAGGTTTAAATTATGATTTTGAAATTATTATTCAGAATTAGGAGTTTGAATCATCTTGAATCAAGAGATGAGTTGTTTTAGAATCATGATTTAAGTTAGTTTAAAACATCACATCAGATATTTTAAATCATGATTCAGAATCATCTAAACCAAACACTGATTCTGAATCACTGTAAACAAAGACGGACTCTAAACTAGGATTCAGGATCATAATTCTGGATCCATCTATCAAATCCTTGAGCAATAAACACTTTTGAAGATCAGACATATTTTTATGAATATATATATATATATGAATATTTTTATGAATATATATATATATATATGATTATAACGGCATCCAAAACCATCAAATTTGAATAATTTTAGGCTTCTGGTTACGTTTGATTTTGATACATTGTGAAGTTCAGAAATGTGTGCACTAATGCTAGTCTGGCCAAACAGCCGTAATTTTGTGTGTTATTTTCTCTTACATGTTCATGATTTCACAAAAGATTAAAGAAAAAAAAAATCAGGTAGGCTATTTTTTCACCGCTTTTTTTAGTAAATGTTCGAACTTTTTATTTTTTTGAACTTTTTTTATTTTAGCAAGATGGTCTTTTTTTCAATAGTCAACAAGTGATTAACTGAAAGTCAATCAGATTAACTGATTTATTATTATAATTTATCAATAATTTATCATTAATAAACATATAATTTATTGATTAAAATTGATTAATTACTAATTGATTTCAACTAATTATTAATTTATATTGATTAATAGTGAAAATCATCGAGTTAATTAGTGATGAACTTAAATCAATCAATAATTGACCGACTAGTCAATCAGTGAGTGATTGACTATTAAGTTAATCAGTCATTAACCACTAGTTAATAAAAAAAGGTCATTTTACTAACTTCAAAAAACTTCGGCCATTTTTCAAAAAAAAATCCCCATTTGCCTCTATATCCCAAGATTAAAAGGTTTCTTGATTAAATTTACATCGAGTTTTTCCAGGTTCTAGGCTCATATTTATGGAGTATACATCCAGTCCCCAAAATTTACATACATATTCTAAAACCAGGATGATCATATGGTAGTATCTGCTAAAGAACGTAATTTTGTCGTTATAAAATCTTATCTGATGAAATAAAATCTTGATTTGATTAAATAAAATAAGACAATTGAACAGAACTTAATAAAAATTTAACGCTAAAAGCTATTCAGGCGATAGGCTTTTTTTTTTTCAATACCCTACTTATAAATCTCCTAATAAATCTTAAGGAACTTATGGCATGTTTACTTACTAGGATTGAAGAATGAGAGTCAATCACATGTTTATTTGTTCTTTTTTATCCTGGAATGAGAGTGAAATTGGTGGGTCTCACTCAAATTTGGGATTGAGGAATGAGATTGGCACTCCCATACCCCCCTTGGATTGAGACTCTCATTTCTAATATTAATATCAATTTACTATCATACCCTTATTTTACTTATAAATACACAATTAAAAATAAAATTCAAAAAATAATAAATGCAACATATATTTATTATTTTATTTGCCTAATATTATAATATTAGCATAATTAGTGTTAACTTTAATATAATAAATATGTACTTTATTTGTTAATAAATTAATAATATATTTTATTTTTTAACACTATTTTTTATTTTTATTTATTTTATTTAAATTTTTTAAAAATTTATTTTTATATTTTAAATAGTTGTACAATTTATATTTATTATTTTAGTACCCAATTATTAAACTAAATATTTTAATTATGATTAATTTTAATATAATAAGTACACAATATATTTTTTAAATTGAAAATATCAAATTGATTTTTATACTTTTTTATTCCGATTATAGATGTAAATAAATTTATGAATGAGATTTAGAATGACTTCGATTCCAAATCCTATTACTAAGTAAACAGTTTATTCTGACTCCGATTACTCACTCCGAATCCTACCCACTCCGAATCCTGTCCACTCTGATTCATGCTCATTCCGATTACGCGTAGATAAACATGCCATTAATCTACTCTTTTTTTTTTTTTCTTTTTTCTTTTGGGCTAAAGGTCTGCTCATATTTCTTATTAGTTTGCTTCTGATATTGGTTAAATGCATTACGTAAGAATACCTCAGATACATTAGGCCACCGTGATCACTTTCTGTTTGTCACAAACATATTAACATAGTTTTATCTACGTCACTTTGCGATGCAAAAACATAACAACCTCATATAGAAAACACATCAACCTTTGTTGCTTGAAATAGCACAAACAGGTGATGCAGGTTGGCTTTTCTTAGCAGCAGGGGAAAAAAATAATAAAAAGAAGAAGAGAGAGAGAGAGAGAGAAGTTAATCTCACAAATAATCTCCCAACTCTATTCTTATTCTCACTTTGATCGCTGACTTTCAAATCATCCCAAAACTAACCTTGATCTATCAGTTTGTTTCAATTTAAGTCATTTTCAGCAAGTGTTTCAAAAGATGATGGAATATGCTTATGATGCTAACAGAAAATAACATTCGGTTAATAACGACCTGCACACTGCATCTCAACCATATTTTGTTTTAATACCCAACCAATGAATGGACTAAATCTAAAACCAACTAATAGATCGCCGAAGTCATAGGCTAAGGTGGGATTGGCAACAAAATTCAGAGACCATTTCTATGATTAACCCAAAAAAAGGGTAATGCAGATTGGCTATGAAAAAACACTCCTTCAGCAAACTAAAAGCTAGAGGTGTTGGAGCTATGATTCATATTTATCCGGATCTGAAACTATAAAATTAGTGGGTTTCTATAAACAAGAAAACCAACCCACCTATACCTGCTTCAACATAAAATTAGAAAAGCAAAAGAAAAAAGAAGGGGAGACAGACAAATGTAAATAACAAATTCATTCCCAAGAAAATTTTTTCCTCTCCCCTTCTCTCAAAAGGGATGTTAATAGATTTTAAATAAATAATACTACAGCCTCTGCCCAACATCACAGCTCACTTTTTTCTTTGGACGTGGGCTCAGCAGCTTGAACCGAGTTTCTCATGGAAGTGGTTGCAGTGCTGACTTGATGGCCACCTACAATCGGTATCCGACCGTCAACTATGCCAGACATCTTAAAAATTATTGTGCTCAAGATTAGACAGACCAATCGTGTTCATGCATACATATATGTATGTTATCATTTTCTTTTACATTAGACTCATGAGGACAACAAGAATAGTCCATGACCAGAAGATTAGGTTAAAGGATTACCGGTTGGAGTTGGCATTCGGTCACCAAAACCTACTCCTTGATTAGAGCTTCCGGGAATGCTTAATCTCCCGCGATATTCTCGCAGAAGCGCCATGTTATTGGCATTACCAGTTTCGACCTCCCCACCGGGCACATGAGTTTCACCAGCAAGCTTCACTGTAGATTTTGGCGAGAAGGTTGTTGACCAAGATCCTCCATTTGATCCTGCTAAGGCCACTATAACATCTGCCTGGAACATATCAAGAACCATGGCCACATCGTGTCGTATGGTGACACAAGGGAAAGATATGATTAAAGTGTGGAAAAGATAAAAAACTAGCAATCTTCATATTGCTTGATTTCTTGATTATTCCTCACTTTAACCTAATTAATCAAAGAAAAACTCCCCTTTAGTCTGAACTAAGAAAGGCCCTTGATAGATTGAAAGGTAAAAAGTCCCTAAGGTCTTCGAAGAATAGATTCGGGATTTTGAAAGCACTACACTGTTTTGACCAAAGAAAAGATTTGGGGATAAACCAAAAGCTACCTCCCAAAGAATTCTCAATAATAGTCGAATAAACAGGGAGTTGATGACAAATGATGAATTCAAATCAATACTGGAATCCCTAGAACAAGTCTGGACTATGGAAGCAAATCCAGAAGGCATTTTTGATACAAATCAAGAAGGCGTTGAGATAGAGTTTTTACAGTGGTCATACTGATGTGTTAAAATAAATAAATAAATGAATAAGAAAATAATAAAAAGTGAGCTTTGAATCTTATACTATTTAAATGTGACCTTGATCCAATCTTAGACTAGTTAAATAGCATATAACCGCAGTACAAGTTAGCCAAGTTGAAATCAAATTATCATTCGCATTCTTCTCTAAGATTATTTCAGATTATTTACTCGTAAATGATTTTATCAATAACCCTGCAATGAAATATGCTTCCAATAGAAGAGATGCTTACATATTATCTCACCAAACCAAGCTATTTCTACTCTCTAGTAGAATCAGAAAAGAAAGCAAACCTTGTTTGGATGAACGTCATCGAAGACATGAGCTTGGCCACCATAAAATATAGTCATCTGCCGACTACCAGCAAATCCATGTCGACTGCCAGAAAAAACATATAAGCATCAAGATTATTTCCACTTGATAGAAAAACAAGAGCACAACAGGGTTTTTACTACCTTGAGGGATTTGAAGATTCCGGTTCTGAGATAATAGTCACACCCTTTTGCCTGCTACCACTGGGCAGTGCCCCAGACACGTTTCTCTCAGAAGAACCACCACCGGCATTAATGGAACTCAAAATACCAGGGCCTTTAATTCCAGTTCTAGATCCCTCATCAGCAGCTGACTGAGATATATTTGTAGGACTGGCATTGGCATCTCTAAACCTGTTAGAAGGTACTTGAGCCACAAATGGCACGAAATGACCCCCACGGGGAGGGTACTGTACTGTTGGACCTGCATTCATGGGAATAGATCGGTCCAATTTGGAAACACCTGAGGGAGGCTGAAATATGAGAGAAGCAGAAGTAGGCCTTATTTGCTGTGAACCAAAGACCACCTCTTCCTCATTGAATCTTCTAATTCTTTCTCCTCCGGCTCCGTTTCTAAGTAGCTGCATTTTGGGGAATAACTATAAAATTAGAATCGGAATCTAGGAAGAGGACATTTGGGACAATATACAAAAATAGAAAGAAAATCACGATATGATGAGCGTTTATACCTTCAACAACTGAGAGCCCTCAAGCGAGTCTGGTCCCATTTGAGGAATCCCATCTCTGGATGGCCCCATAAAAGTAGTGTCTGAATTACTTCTCTTACTTCCTACTATCTTGTTACTTATTTCTGGCCCAGATATATCACTCCTTGCACCATAGAATGGAACCCCTTCCAGATGATTTCCACCCCGTCTCTCTAATAAATTTCGATGAAACAAATAATCAAAGTTCAATCTCATTTTGTAAGATCCCAAATAAAAACAACGCTTTCAAAAATATACAACAATTTCAGCAATACAATACGATCAGGTAAGTTCCAAGACGAATAATAACACAAGTTCATGTCTATTCGTTGAGGACATAGATGAAAATGCCAACAATAAATCAAACACATTACAGTGTTTAGCTCAATCTCATATTGTAGTGTTTAGCTCTTTCAAGAAAGAAATTCAATTTTCTAGTTCCTCAATGGCTAACGACAAAGCCTTTTTATTTTTGGCAAAAAGAAAAAAGAAAGAACAACAGTGAAAGCTCATGCCTGATTTCACACACCCCCATGATTGCAAAGGAAAAAAAAAAAGGGGGCCTAACAAAGAGAAAGCCCCAAAGATTACCAACTCTGACCTCACTAAAACTAATCCATAACAAAGACACCCACTCCACAATAACAGGGAAAAAGAGTCCCCTGCATTACCAAGTTAAAAATCAAGAAAAATAGCGTTTCCCTAAACAAAACAAAAAAGGTTTTCGAAAGGCATAAAACAGAGTATTTTTGGAACAAAACAAAGCAAGAGACAGACCGGAGGCCAGATCAGAGGTGGTGGAGATGGGACCACGGCCGCCGGCGGAGGAAGCTCCAAAGGAGGCCGAGGCGGAGGCGGAGGCGGAGGGCGAGGGCTCGGCGGCTTTTGGGCCGAAGCCCACGGCGGAGGAGTCGTTGGGCTTCGCGCCGAAGAAGTCATGGAAAATGGGCTTCGCCAGTAGAAGTTGATTCTCGTGTTTTGGTTGTTGTTGTTGTTGGTGGTGGTGGTGGTGTTGGCCACCGCCATTGTTGTCCGCATTGTTGGGCATGCTTTGTTGAGCCATTAATCATTATTATCATCAGCTCAGCCATTTCTTCATCATCATCGCCATAATAATTTACCTCTCTGCCCAGCTACTACTTCACTCTTTCTACTCTCTCTTGCGTCTAGAGAGAGATAGAGAGTGGTAAACAGACTTGGGGGCCAAAAAAGAGGAGAGAGAAAGAGAGAGAAAAGAGAGCTCGATTTTCAGAAAAGATGAAAAAAGGAGAGGAGAGAGAAAGAGAGAATCGGACTCTTTTATTGAAAAAAACAGAGAGAGAGAGAGAGAGCAATAAAAAGCAAAAGGTTCTTCTTTGGAGAGTGTTCTGCTGTTCAACTAAATGGGCTCTCTCTCTCTCTCTGTTGAACAAAAGCACAAATTGTCTGTTTGTTAATGGGAGATTGGCTCTCTCTGAGAATAAAATGTTTGGTTCGCAAGTGTGGGTTTGTTTTGCGTGTCTTTTTCTGGGTTTGTGATTTCTTTGATTAACACGAAGGAAGTTGAAAAAAAAAAAGCATACGAGGATTGGGTTTTTAACTTTTTTAATTATATATTTATTATTGCCCGAGTGTTACGCAATACATCTGTAAGACTAGGACCTTAATTTATACCTCTCTCTCATATTCCTTTTTTTAATTAGGATCAATTTAATTTAATGATTCGAGTTTTTACTTTGAGTTAAAATATAATTTTATGTGAAAATTTTTTATTATAATAAAAAATTAAATATAATTATTTTTAAAAAAAATTTACTATAATAAATTTTAAATTTTAAATTTAAATTAATAAAATAAATGAAACTTTAATGTTTAAATGGTCTTAGTAGGATATACCTTCTCTTCCCAAGATGCACGCCATACTCTCACATGTTTCTTTTTCTCTCTTCTATAATTGAAAAGTCACTTGACCTATCTATACGGAATTTTTATCATTGAATTGCATCTCATCCCCACTAAAAAAAAGTTTAAAACAGTTTTTTTTTTTTTTTTTTTTAGAAAATTCTACTGGATTGTTAAGAGGATGTTTGGTAAAGGAATTTATTCCCTGATTCGAATCATGATTCGTAGTTCGCTACAGTATTTTCTTTCATAAAAAATTCACGTAAATAAAAAATGATTTGAATCACATGGTTTGAATCCTCCAACCAAACGTCCTCTAAGAGTTTAGTATCATGATATTTAGGCATGACTTGGATTTTGTTTATAGGTTCTTTGGTACTAGAAAAATAATATTGAAGAGCTTGACTTATGGTTTCGAAAAAAGCATATATTTAAGGCACAAGTCTACGTAATAGAAAGTTTAGTTTTCAAGAAGAATAAAAATCTAAAAACCTTTTAGAAAATTTGTCAAAACACGGGACCGTTTGAATTGGCTTAAAAAAATTATTTTTAACTTATTTAGCGTGCGTTTTAAAAAGAAATTCGTGCTATAGTTTAAATAATAGTTCGTAATTCGCTATAGTATTTTCTCTCATAAAGAAATATACGTAAAACGATAATAGTTCTAAATTATAGTTCCGAATTCATGAACCAAACGTCCACTTAGTCTAAAAATTACTTTTTAACATGTTTAAATGGCTGACTTTAAGTGTTTTTAACTTTTTTAAACATTTTTAGAACAAACTATCTCTTTAATGTTTATGAAAAAAGTGTTTATGAAAAGCTTTTTATTTACATTTTTAACATTTTATTTGTGAACAATAAATTAAATATCTTATATTACTTTTATAACAATAAGTGCTTTTGACTTTTTTTACTCAAATAAATTCAAAAGCTCATCTTAAATATAAAAGCACTTTTTTAAGTTATCCAAACACTAATTAAAAAGTCATAACTTATGTTTATTTTTTTCTATTACTTAAAAATACAAACACAAGTTATCTCAAACGAACTTTATAAATAAACATAAACAGATAACCAATTTTCTTCTACAACTTAAAAGTACAAGTTATGCTTATCTTCTTCTAGTTAGTGACAATTTGGTTCCTTTCTCACTCACAAGTTATAAACAAACCAATAAATAAACATAAACAAATAGCCAAACAAAAGCATAAAATGGCACTTCGTGGGTTTTAAGAGGATTTGATTGGTATATTGTGGGAGGAGCAAGAGCAACCAAATGGCCAGTGGAAGGGGAATATGGGGCACAGATTCTCTGAAGCATTTCTTTTGACTGCATTCTGATCCACCACCATCACCACCCTTTCCCATTGGTACCATCCCACCAAGCTAATTATCGCATCATGAAGAACGTTATTATCACTCTTTTAGTGAAATTTACGTGGTAAACAGTAAATGAAAATGATAATAAAAAGAGTGATATAAAGAATTATATTAACATTTCTTATCTCATCATTTCTCATTATGGACTTCATGTAAAGCCCCTTGCACACACTCTCTCTTTCTTAATTTAAAATATTGGCCTTCAAAATTAATACTTTTTCTTAAGTATTCTTATCTCTAGGTAGAGTATTAATACCTACATACCTTTTTTAATACAACTGTTAATAACTTTTCCCTATCATGAAGGCTTAATAACTATCGTTTTTTTTTTCTTTTTTGAGAATCAAAAGGAGGATTACCAAAGCTAAAAATGTGTTTATTAAAACTTCATTTGAAAAAGCTGTGTGTATTGAGCGAGATGAGCAAAGGAATCGAAAAGGAAACGAGAGAGAGAGAGAGAGCGAGCGGGAATGTCATACAGATTCCTGAGAGATGGGTGTCGAAGTAGGGATGAGATTTGCTGCAGTTTACCAATAAATGTCATTTCCATTTTTTTTATTTTTTTATTTTTTTGTCGAAATTTTTAATTTTAATTTTACTAAACGATGAAAACGAACCCCTTAGGCCTTTAGGTAATTCGACAAATATCCCCATGCGTATCGAACAGAGTCCTTAAGTTGTCAAAATCAAATGGACGCAGTGACCGATGACTGGGGCATTCATATAAGATTGTCATTGTCCTACCTTAGGCCCCCTTAGTAGACCCACAACCCCCAAAGATACCTTTGGTTCCTTCGGTAATCTAGCATCACCCCCTCTAGATCTGGCCAAAAAATATTTTTATTTTACTTTACAAAAAATGAACAGAATTAAATAATAATAAACAACACTTGCGAATAGCATGGCAGTCATTTTTCGTTCATTTTTTCGATTTAAATTTTTACAATTTAAATTTTTAGAAAATATCACATTTAATTTTTTTTAATACAGTTAAAAATTTTTAAAAAATATCACATATTAATTCGAATTGAAAACTCGAATCTGCGAAGCGAATGAGACCTAAATTATTTTTTTGTTTGAAAATTCCCAACAAGATTTTAAAGAAATCCAACCATACATACATAGCTCAACTAAAATTGCCTGATACAAAATAGTATGAAAATCAATACTCTTCCCTCTGCCTGCAAATTAGTGATAATTTTAGTCCTTGTAAAGTGAACACCAAAGACAAAAATCAGAAGATTTGCATATTCTTCCCTAACCCTTCTCAATTTCCTCTTTACCAAACAAACCAATCTTCCATTTTCTTCTCAAATTTCCTCTCGTTTTCCACTCCTCCAAACATAGGCCAAGAAAAAGGCATGCTGGAAAACACTACAAACATCAAACTGACCTGCTCTTCTGATTTTTTTTTTTATTGGCTTTATTGTTACAGATCTCCATAATACAACTCAGACTTCTTACACCAATACGTAGACCATCATGCGTGATGTCCATATCCTATTCAGTTAGTGTTGATGACTATTTAATCCAAAATGTTATGTCAAGACCAAAAATTATCCAAAATGTGACCATCAGCTTCCACGTGATGATAACTTTCACATATGGAAATGATAACTCTACAAAAGTCGTTGATTTAAATAGTGCCTTTTCTCGAGCTTCAAATCTCTTTAGCTAGACCAAAGCCATTATATTTTTATATTACTTAATCTAATACTACATAACAAAATTATCCTAATTAATTTCATATCTAGGGATATCAATTAGTGGGTAACCATGAGAATCAGCCAATCAGGACCCACCAATAATTAGACAAAATTCAGTGTACGAAATACTTTGTTTCTTGCACCCCTCAACTACTTGTATGCCCATGTGGGCCATAGTTTTGTCAAGTGTATGATTGGATCAGATTCCTTCCCCGTGCCCATCAGGCCACATCTCAATTATAGTGCAGTGATATCTGAGAGCAGCATAGATATGCATAGCTGATGATGATTGTATGTCTACACTCTTTTTGTCGTTCTTTTTTATCACTTTTTGTATTAAAGATGTCATCATCATCATTTTCTTTGCCGGACAGCCCTTGCTTGTCGCCGGACGGCCGCTGCTCTACTCACCAGATCGTCAACGTCAGAGAAGAAGATGGGGAGGCAAAGTCGAATGAGTCTTAGGTCTTAGGATTGTTGGCTGCTGCAAGGGCGAAAACGTAGAGGACTTATAGGGTCTCAAAAACCATTTGTTTGTTTTTTCATCCACATAAAAGCCCAAACGGATGGGCTGACTTTCTTCCGTTTTTTAAAGGGAGAATAAGGTAAATGACATTCACAAGATATCCCGATTAAAATTTCTACCATTTATTCTTAATTAATAACATTTTTAATCAAATAAATATACTACTAAAAAGATATTAATAAAAAATAAAGGATAAAAATCTAGACCGTGTACTATTACGAGTAAATTATACAATTTTTTCTATCCTATATCCCCACTAAAAAGTTAGAATAAAGTTTTAATAAGATTAGTAAATAGCATAATCAGATAAATGTAATTTACCATGTTATGTAAATACAAAAACTGTCCTTATCTAGTGTCAAAAAACAATACAAAAAAAATCACTATCTCCCCTCTCGCGCAACCCCCCTCTCTCTCATCACCACAAACATCCCCTCTCTCATCACCACAAACGACGTCACCTCTCTCTCATCACCAACGCCGCATCTCTCTCAGATGCGATCTCATCTTCTTTCTCCTCCATTTTCGATCAATTTTTTCGTAATTTGTTTTCAATTCAAAATTTTTTCGTAACCTCGGGTCTCAAAATTTTTTCATAAATTTATCAGTTATTTGATTTGTAGTCTCGTAATCTCGGGTAAATGTTTGTGTAATAACCATTCCATGTTAGACTTTTGGTATCTAACATTCCACCACGCTCCGCAACCGCCGTCCAGGCAGCCCATCTTCCTAGCTACGTGACTTTACGAATCCCGCCTTCTATCGGGTAGCAACCCTCCCTAGGTTGCCCCATCCATAGGCAATAGTTACAAAACCGCCGTATGGTCTATACTACGTCTAATCCCATACTCGACATGGCAGTTTTGTAACAATCCACCATTCCTGAGCCCAAATCAACAGCGGTCCACATTATCGACACTGACCTGGAGATAGCCCTTTCCTCTTTAGTGGTTTCACTCGACTATCAATATTCGACGCTTTGACAGCTTCACCAACACATCTTAATCCAGCCTATACTGCATCTGCTTTTGACTCACATCTGTGACGTGGTGGACTGGCTCTGATACCAATTATTACAAATCCATAAGGTAGAACTCACCCTTGCAAAACCGGCTTGCAAGGGGAGAGAACCCAAGGGCTTATAAACCCACTATTTGTCTTATAATCATTCCATATGGGACTTCTGGTATCTAAGAGAGCGCCTCAAGACATTCGAGGCATACACCTTTCTCATGACACACGGACATTTTAACAGCAAAGGCGACATCAGATTACAGCTTCAGCCATGTTATCCGTGTTGGTAGTGCAGAAGCAATAAAATCAGACTACCAGTTTTTGAATTAATCTTTTGAATATATGGTGAAATGAATAAATAATATAAGTAACAGAATTCAGTCAGCACACGGTGAGAGGCCTCCAATTGAACTAATGACATTAGAGACTTCAATCAGTCGCTGCATGAGTACGAGATTTAACGAATGTCAAATATAATGATCAAAAAAGCAAATAGAATACCAGTCTAGAGTATCTGTGTGTCTGTCCTTTCTCGAACTTTTCACGACTTCATGTTGAATTCAATCCACCAACCCTTTTTTTTCCCTAAAGGCCCTCCAGAATAGTGTGTTGTTACGTTTTCTTCTGAATATCCTCTATCAACCGGTTTGCAAGTGAGACAGCATTTTCAAATGGACCTCTGTAGTTAACAAGTTCTCTTGATTCTTTACAAGTTTTTAACATATCAGAAATTGCTTCGGCTTTCCGCATTACAGAGTTTCTCCTGTCACTAGACGCATCTCCATCTCTTGTATAAGTATTTGGCAACTTGGTCGAATGAGGAACAGAAGACATCAGGTCCCTTAGTTTCGACACCATCTCAGTCATTCCTCGTTTCTTTAATTCATCCTTCATTCTGTGATAAGTAAGATATTGAGGCACTATACCCCTTCTTATCATATCCCCAAACTCCAGATAAGCCTCTTCAAATCTACGCATATTGCAAAACAAATGAATCAACATTGTGCTTGTAGCTAAGTCCATATCAAATCCCCTGGATCTCATTTCTTTGCCAACTTGAACTGCCAAGTCGAGTTTGCCTTCCTCGCACAGCATCTTCAACAAAAGATGGTAGGTGAGCCGATCAGGAGAATGCCCCGATCCAATCATCTTGGTGTACAGGTTCATTCCCTCCTCAATTTTACCAAACTTCGAGAAGTACTTAAAGAAATAGTTATAAGTTGTTGGTGTTGGAATAATACCCCTCCCTATCATCATCTTAATAATCTTACTAGCCCCTGCAAGGTTTCCCGCCTTGCAAAAACCCTTCACCAGAGAATTATATGTTGAGATAGTAGGGCCTGATTCTAGAACCAAAAAGCGCTCCATCATTCCCAATGCCTCCTTGAACCTCCCAGCTTCCCCCAGTGCATCAATTATTGGATTATAAACAATTGCATTTGGCTCAATTCCTTCTGTTCTCATTTCCTTAACCAATTCAACCGCTATTTCAGCACGACGCATTCGGCAATAACCTTCCACGAGGGTGCCATATGTTACAACAGTAGATCTCACATTATCCCTCTTCATCTCCATCCAAAGCCGTTCTGCCCGTTTGAGCTTCCTCGATCTAAACCACCCATTCAGCAGTATATTATAAGCCCGAATTGATGGAATCCAACTTGGATCCAACTTCTTTTTCTCATTAAAATAATCTGAAGCTGCTCTGACATGCCCTTCCTTGCAAAGGGCATCCAACAAAATCCCAAACAAACTTATTTCTGAAATGTAACTACAAATTGGAACCGAATTACTTGCAAATTCAAATGTTCGAACTGCAGATTGGGGCATACCTGCATGTATGCACCACCAAGTATTTATGGATAACCAACTAAGTGAGACCAAAACCGTAGCAATTTCTGTAGAAATTGTTATCAAATGCAATTTATTTCTAGCAAAATCGATCTTAACCGTAACACAAATGATATACAAACTACATGTAAAATATGCAAAAACACAAAAATATACCTATGTATAATACCAATTGAAATATACCTTCACGAGCATAACGTCTGATCATGATCACAAAGGTATCCTCGCAAACCAATCTGGGCTCCTCCTCTTTGCCGATTCGATGGAGAATCAGAGACCACGCCGAATCGAACTCCCTGGATTTCGCAAGCACATTGATCACGGACGCAAAGAGCGAAGCAGAGGATCGATACCCAGGTTGCTTCTCCGCCCAGAGAAAGAGCGAGTACAACAACTTGGGGGAAGAATCAAAATGGTCGAACACAGCTTGCAGCAGACTCGGACTCGGCTCGATTCCAGTCCGATCCAAGGCGGTGTGGAGAGAAAAACCGCCGGAAATGTTAGGGTTTGTGAGAACCTCTGAAATTGCAGCGAATTCATTCTGCGAGAACTCGGCGCCTGGGTTAGGGCTAGGGTTCGGGTCTGGTTGCGGATTTGGGACAGAGCAGGGTTCGTGGGGCCACCTGATGAGAGGCTTACCGGGTACGGACAGCCATGACAGACCGGAGGCGGAGGAGGAGGAGAAGAATCGGAGAGTGTGAAATTGAAGGTTAGGGTTAGGGTTAGGGTTTGGCTGGAAGATTGGGGAGGTTAGTGAGATAAAGTGACGGCGTTTGAAGAGGAGAGAAGAAAGGGATAACATCAAGAAGCTGTATACAAATGGATTAATTAAAAAAAGATTTCCATTTAGAAACTTATCTCTGAGTTTTTCGCCGCGACCTCGCCGGAAAAAGGAAAACGGAATGGGCGAAGGAGATGATATATGAGTAATGTGTTTCGTATTTAGCGCTAAATTTTTCTCTTTAGCGCGAACTTCTTTTTTTCTTTTTCATTTTAATTTAATCTAGATGTTTGTCCAATATGCTGTCCAAAAAATATCCATTAACACAACGTTATTCTGAATTTTAGTGTCTTTTTTATTTTATTTCTTAAATTTTAAAAATTTTTATTTTACTTTTTAAATTTTAATTTTGTCTTATTTACGTTTTTTTTTTAAATATTTTGTTAAAATTATACAGCAAAAAAAGAAGTAAGTGTGGACATAATAAATATTTATTTATTTTTAATATAAATTTAAATAGAAACACTACATAACTGTGTTGCTCTTTTTTTCTTATTTATTTTTAATATAAATTACAATAAATAAAGTTAAGTGGGAACAATAAAAACTCTAATAAATAAAGTGAGAATTTTTAAAATTTAAGAAGTAAATTGAGAATGACTTTAATTTAGAAACACCAATGTTAATAATCTATATATCTATTAAAATACTATTTTGAATGAATTTAATATATATATATATATTATACTTGATAGTAAATTTAATATAAAATTTTAACTTCTGATTGTCATTGGTTTTTATTTTTTTATTTAATCAATTATAACATTAGCATTTTCAAAGTATTTTAATATTAAAATTTTATTTTCATACATTTTGAAATAATATTATGAATTAGAGGCACAATTACAAATTTTTATGTCAAATATGACATTGGCAATAGTTGTTTGCATTGAATATTTGTCTAACAAACTAATAAAAACACTTTGGGTGCGTTTAGAACTCGTTTTAAAAATAATTTTATTTTTTATATAAAAATAAAAATAAAAACGTTTTTAATTTTAGACATAAACCATTTTTAAAATTGTATTTGGTAGTTTTATTAATAGATTGTTTTCAGTGTAAAAAAACTCATTAATGTCTCTCTTTCTCTCTCTGTGCTCGAGAGATGAGAAAACGAAAATAAAAAATGAAAAACGACTAAAAGCCGTTTTTCATTTCTCTCCCATTTTATATTAAACCAAAAAATCGTTTTCATTTTTATTTTTTGTCTTTATTGCGCCAAACGCCGTTTTAAAAACGTTTTCATTTTTTTAAAAATAAAAATGAGATCAACTCCAAACACGGCCTTTATGACATGTAATTCGAGCCTTAACAGTTTGATGTCCTTCGTTGTTATAAAAGGACATGTCGTGTTTCACAATTGAAGTAGTTCATTTGAATTGAAACCACCCTTTTTTTTTGTATTACTAACTAGTCGCGCATTTCGCGCGTGTGTAATATATAATACACACATTTTACTGTATTTGAGTAAGCGGTTTATTATTTACTGTATAATAAAGAATTATTTATACAACTCTGTTAGTGTTATGTAGAACCCGTTTAGTTCGCTGATTCGAGTTTTTAATTTGAATTGAGATGTGATTTTATGTGAAAGTTTTTTATTGTAATAAAACTCAAATTCTACGGTAAAATGAACAGGATCATAGTGTATTTTAATTTTTTAATAATATTCTCTAAAGAGAATCTCCTGTTGAATTTAAACATTAGCAGCAGAAGATATTTATACACTGATAGATTAAAACAAGATTTGGTATAGAAAAATTAGAGAAAAAATTATGAACATAGTATTTAAAAGGGCTGCAAGAAAAAAGACATTTATAACAAATTTAACAATTTGAAATTGATGGAGTACTTATTTGAATTTATTGTAAAATTCTCGTAAATTTCAGTACACCTGTCACAAGTACAGACAGTGTCCTTCCGTTAAATCTGATTAAATTTCTACCTGCAATGACGGAGGGTCAAGGGGGGCAGAGGGGGGGCGCGGGGGGGGCCCCCCCCCCCCCCCCCCCCCCGACTAAAGGTCAAATTTTTTTTTTTTTTTTATAATACAGAGTTTTGTTTTTTTTTTTTTTAATATTTTGTGGGCTCTGCGCACGCAGATTCCCATTTTTTCTACGTTTAATAAGCGGTTATCTTCCTTTCTTTCCTCTGACACTCTCGTCCCTCACAATCGCCCAGTCACCTGCCTTGCTTCTTTCCTTCTTTCTCTAGTTTTGAGAAGGAAACTGTTCTGCTCTTAAAAATTAATGTGCTGTTTATTTTAAGAGTTTTGAATAATTTATGATCCGTTTGGTTCGTTAATTTAAGTTTTTAATTTGAGTTGAGATGTAATATTGTGTGAGAGTTTTTTTACTAGTAAAAAAGTTAGATGTGACTTACTAGTAAAAAATTTGAGTTGAGATGTAACGAAAAGAACGTGGCCTTATTATGAGTTGTTATTTTATTACAGTATTTTTTTATAAAAAATTTAAATTTTAAAAATTAAAATCATGAATTATAGTTTTAAATTTATGAACTAAATGTTACCTAAATTTTTTTTTCTCTACTCTTAGGGTATGTTTGGTAGTAGTTTTTAGAGTTTAAAATCAATTCTCTAATCATCTACAGTTAAAATTTGTGTTTAGTAAAAATTATAAAAAGTGATTCTTAAAGAATTTTTGAATAATTTATAATAAAAATCAAAAGTGGTTTAAAGATAATTTTAGTTTTTAAATTGTGCAGTGATCACATTGATTTACAATTAATCAAACTTTCATAATACTCATGAAATTAATACTTATATAATTATAATTTATTAAACACTCAATTATTTTTTATAATAATTTTTTTCAGCACAATTAAGTATTTTTTTTTAATTCACAGCATTACCAAACTTAACTCTTAAAAGGTCTAGCCGATTCAGATTTCTGTCGGTGCCTATAGAACGTTTGAAGCATTTGGGCACTAGAGATCGGCTCTGAGTTGTGTTTCTCCAATTTTGATGGTAAAGTAAGACCTTTTTTTCATTTTAATATTAAATAACTGAGAAATGATAATCAAAAAAGAAATTACTTGTTAATGTTAATAGAACATTCAGAGCTTGTTGTAAGAGATTTAAGTTTTTTAATCCTTTTTTTCTTCACAAAAATATATTTTTTTCTACACAAGCTGCTCCATTTATAATCCTTTTTTTTTCTTTTTTATTTCAATGTCTAATGTCTAATTTATGTAATCTAGTTCCTTCATTTTTCATATTGGGTTTAGGAAATTTAATTGTATTACTTAAATAGATAAAGAAGTTTTTTAATTTATTTGGTGAAGTCTTAAAATTTATTTTTAGGTCTGAATTATTTTTCTTCATGGGGAAATTTTTTAAAAGAAAAAATATTCAAGATCAACAATTTGAAGATGGTGGTCAATCATCTATTTCAAGTTCTGAAAATTTAGTTCCCGAGCATCTAAAAAAAGTTCAAAGAATTGATGTTGAAAAAAATGATATTGCCTCTTTAGAGCACAATCCTGGAAAACGTCCTCTAATATAGGAACATCCAATTAATAAACAAGATGAAATGTTATCTTCATTTTACAGGTAATAATTGGACTTCGAGAATGGCAATGGTATTATGAAAATATTAAGAACACTTTAATTTTAGGTTCTTTCTTGTATTATTCTTCTTTTTAATTGCATATAATTAACAGTAACGTGTTTTCCTATTTAGTATGTTAATATGCCATGAATTTAACAAACAAAAATTGTTGAATCTATAGATGTTAGAATTGATAAATTTTTTTTTTGACCTCCTATCAATAAATTTTAACTCTGTTAGTGTCTACCTGTTGTGTATATTGTTATTTTGTGAAACTAACCCCCCAATTTTTTTTTCTTTTTGTTATTTTTATTTTTTTAATTTTTTTCTTTTGTTTTTTGGTGCTCAATCCTTTTCTATTATAAAATACAACCTACCATAATATTAAGGACTTGTTTTGTGCTCATGAACGGCATGGACTATTAAGCAAATATAAACACAGTCGTTTACCAAATATAAAAGATAACAAACACGCGAAAACGGAATTACTCCCACGTGTCGACCCCAGAAAGAAAAGCGTATTAACGCTTTTATAGAAGGATTTTTGGATCGTTGTCGTTTTACTTTCTCCCAAATTTTGCCGTCCTTCATCACTAAAACCACATGTCGTGCTTCAATTACAATTATGTCGTTTATGAGTAAATTCATCAATTAAAACGACATATCGTATTTCACTCAAAATTCTGTTTCTATTTAAGGAAATCTACTAGGAGGGTGTACTGGAGAAGCAGATATATCGACCAGAAAAAAAAAAAAAAAAAAAAAAAAAAAAAAACAAAAAGCAAAAAAATAAAAAAAAAAAAAA